AGCTCTCAGTCCTCCGCACCACTCGACTACACAGTCCAAAGAAAGGTACTGCATCCTCACTGCCACAAAGCCCTTTCTTCCTCCGATAAGGGGAAGCAGGCAGCTGCGATTCCGGACAGTTAAGATTATATATGATGTGTATATATCGAAGGTTTGTCAGCTCTTCCAGGCCATAAAACCCACTTAAATGACACCACGTGCTTCCTATGCACCATTCACAGGCCCTGCTTGAGGCAATTGGCATATGTAACCTTGTAAACTTTAAAATACCCTAAAAGAAAGACATACAAAAAGGGATTGAATGCGTTGTCCATGTATAGGTTAGGCCCAACAGAGCGCAGAGAAAGTGGACGCTGCGCTGACCGGTTCTCATAACCGTCAAGGAAGTCAATAGGAAGCTATTAGTTTAAGAGGTGAGTTGATTTTTATTTTCTTTAAGTAGTGCTAGACAGAATTACCTCATAACCTTGGGCTATTCTGCGTCACGCCACTTCTTCTACTAAAACTGCCGCTACATTCAACAATGGCGTGATTTTATGTCCGCTATGCTACCACATAGCGATGTTTTAACAGCAGTGTAATGATAGCAGGATTAAAGAGCAAGGCGACATGACAAAAGTAGCCATATGGCCTCAGCGGTGATGACGCGCCAGTGTGCGGTCACAGGAAACCAAAGTTTTGCATCCACGTTGTGTCGTGGGTGAGTGTTATCACAGGCAAGTGCGTCCCTTCCTTCCCTGACAAAACAGGAAACGGAGTGTGCGTGTGGTGGAGTGCTGGAGAAGGGGGCAATAAAGTTTTATGGGGGCCTTAGACTTCCGAGCGCGTTTGTGAGTCAATGAAAATCTGTTGATTTCGTGGCTCAAATGGGACAACGCATTTATAAATGGCTTTGATAGTGAACTGAATTCCGCCAGCCAACCCTCGAAATGTGTTTTAAATAATAATAATAATAATAATAATAAACGTGCATGCTGACAGCAGGGAATTCCCTTACTTTTAATGAGTCTTTATTGGTTACAATCAACGAACAGGCCATCTATCAGTTATTGTAGGCCCAGTGTTAATCAGGCACCTTAAGTTTACAAAGGAGGGAAGAGAAATTGTTCCATTGCACATTACAACATTATCACAAACAGCCACTGAATTGTACATAATGATTCAAGAGTCACAAGAATATGACAGACAACAGGGATGGTGTCTTCACACGAAATCCACTCACGAGGACATTGCTTATTGAACACACATTCAACAGCATCCTAAATGCAACATGTCACAGAGTAAATTTCAAAGAAAAAGAAAAAATGGAGAGAAGTAGTATTTGTAAGACAACTTAACTGTTGCTAAGGATTTTCAGATAAGTCAGAATTAGTATTTATTTTGACTTTATTTGATTCACTGACCCCTTTGATGCATGGTGATATAAAGATGGGAGCTATTCATGTTACCTCTCGCTTACATAATTTAAAAACATTTTATTTTTTTCTTCTTTTAGTGTTTGTGTGCACCTTTTCAGTGTACTGCAGACCAAAGCTTTGCAGCGGGACGGTTCCAGCTAACCCTCGACCCCCTGTTCCTCTCGTGCAGTAAAGTGAGGCTATCATCGCATGGGCAGCAAATTAATTTAGAAATGTAAACCGATTGATCAAAGTGAGCGATATTCAATACATTAGGTCCCAAACTGCAGCAAGTGACACATAATTGGTGATGAAGCACACAGAGCGGTGTCGTGATGTCATTGCTCCTAGCAGTTCATCCGAAGGTCAGGCGGCACTCCAGCATTGTGCAGTGAGGGGCTGAAAACGTGCTGCATGCACCGCGTTCGCTGATGCCATTTTTACTCCTTCACTTTGATTTTTGAGTCCTTCTTCCACTTCATTCGTCTGTTCTGGAACCAGATTTTGATCTGCCTCTCGTTTAGACACAGAGTGTGGGCGATCTCTATGCGCCTGCGGCGGCTCAGGTACCGGTTGAAGTGAAACTCTTTCTCCAGCTCCAGAGTCTGATAGCGGGTGTAACTGGTCCTGGACCGCTTACCCTCCGATTCTGAAGTGGTATTAAAATAAGTTAGCTTTCAGCAGCATTAGAGTGGAAAAAAATAAGTGGAATATAAATAATAGGCTAATAATATCATTACATTCATTACTATTACATGTTATTACAAAGCCTGGATACCCATAAGCACTACAAGCAAGGATCCATTAATTTAAATCCCCTTCAACCCCCATTTAAAAGATCAAAAATCTTTATATAACCTAATTTTAACCTGATATTACTTACTGTGGACTTGTGCAATAAAAATTTATGTTCATGCAGATAAGGATGGTTAACTAGACCCTTAATATAAATATGCTCAGTGCAGGGGAAGAGGGCCCACTTAATCCTTTCACAGCAAAACATAAAAAATACAAAATATTACTTAATGCATCTTATCATGATTTAATGCTTAGAAGTTGATAACTAAAAATATGTGGGCCTCTCGATAAAACCCTGGCCTCGGTTTAATAACGATGCACTGGAGTAGGATGTTGTGGGGGAGAAGCAGATATGTAAACTATAAAAAAAAAGAGGGGGGCGGGGGGGGGGGAGAAAAAGTGGGTTGAAGAAAGTGATGTTTTCCAGATACTTTTTTCAGATTTCCGTGGGTACATGCGTGCAAAGCAACAGAGCTGTGCTTTTGGAAAAAATAAAATAATTTCAACAACCCTGCAGTGTGTTTCTAGATATTTGCATATGGAGGCTCATAATAAAAACAGCATCTTTTGCAGCAAATGTGCTCCCTGTACGTCTCGCTGCCTCAACAGTACGCCAGTGGTTTGAAGGCATAGAGAAGAAGCATGCCTATTCAGATCTTTTAGAGGTGAAAAGTTCATGATTGGGTCAGGGCATTGGTGTTTGACAGAGTTCAATTTAAGGCTAAAGCTTCTCTCTCACAGTGTGTGTGCTGATGCAAAACACATAGCTAGACCAAGTCTATAAACGAAGCATGGCAAAAACTAATACTTAATGCTGCATTTGTAATATTATTCCATAGTTTTATCGCATTTTTGTTCTCTTATCCAATTATGCCACCATAAATCACAGCGCAGATCACATCTTCACCGTAACAGAGCAGGTTTACGAGCAATGGATGCCTTTGTCATAAAATTTATGACCGCGAGTTTTTATTATTTCCTGCGTTTGGCCTATAAAACTCAAGAGGGACACTGGAACGGGCAAAAAGAAGTGTTGTAGCGTTAAGGGTGAATAAGGGAAAGCATCTTAGCTGCACTTTAGAAAATATGCAAACTTTACCGTGGCTCATGTGCAGTTTTGTCATCCATGGATAAATCTGTGGTCGCTGCTCACTATCCTCAGGCTGGTTCACGTTTGTGTTTCGTTTCACGGACTGCGTGTTATCCGCGTTTCTGTCGCTCTCCTGGCTCATGTTGCCGCCGGATTTTGCGCTTCTCTCCGGGTCTCTGCCAGCCCCACGTCCGAGCAGCTTACTGCTGCCGTAGCTGAGCCCGCTGGCGTCCACAGACGAGCTACTGGAGACCATGGTTATTTGTGGTCCTGACGGGAGTGGAATATCCGTATTGCCACGCAGGCTAGTTTTCATCTCCTCCCGTTGAACAGAGGTCGTGGGGACGGGACAAGAGAATATCCCGTTCACATTAACACCCTCATAATGGCTGGACACGCGCCCAGATAGATCGAAACTAAACATAGTGTTAGGAGAACTTGTCTCGCTTGTTTGCCTGAGACTGGAGCTGTCAACAGAGCTCATTTCAAACTACCACCGACACTTTCTTTTTAAACTAGACAGGGCTGCGGGCTACACGTTGCGGGTATTTCCTTGTTTTTGTTGATCATTGCTTTTCTTTGTTGCCGCTTTTGGAAAATTCACAGCTGTCTGCCCTAAAAAATAATCCAGGATTTATAGGTGGAGTAGGCTTTGGTATCTTTTTTTAATTCTTGATCCGACGTGGGCTGCCCAAATATGGGGTATTTGTACGGGATCACGTGCGCATGTTGGCCAGTCATAAATTGGCTTTGATACTCAATGGGGATATTGATGAATAGGAGAAACGTGTCCGGTAAACTTTGAGCTGTTGGTTGTTGAGGACCAGGCAGGGATCTTTAGCGCAAAAAGGGCAGGACAGTAAGACAAGAGCGTCATCTGGTGTCTGGTATGGGGCAAGACGGTCAAGACCGGTCAGCTCTGTGCCCTGGACCCGCTGCCAGTCCACCATCACCAATAATAATTATAATAATACTAATAATAATAATAATAATAATAATAATAATAATAATAATAATAATAATAATAATAATAATAAAGCTAGGTTAAAATATATCTACGCGGATGGACTTGAAACGTGAACGTTGTTGGGAGTTTATATTACTACAGCTACGGGGATGTTATCGTGTTTAACAGTAGCTTAACAGTAGCTAATTCCTGTGCCATACCAATATCGGCGTCGAACAAACAGGTCTCATGTTTTGGAGAAACAAAAATTGCTTAAAAATATATGTTTAACGTCAAACCCTCCCTTTCTTGCCTACACAGCCTCCGGACCAAACAGGCCACGACAAAAAAATCTTTAAAATTTAAAGAAAAGCATAAGAAGAAAGAAATAGCAAACTTTCACAGTCCACGTTTAGGAAATCTCTTCGTATTTTTATTACGTATTTAAGGGATCTGTCTTCATCTGACTCATGAAACAGACAAGACGAAGGTGAAAGTTTTACAAACATTTTATTCCGTGATACACAGTTATGACAAAACATTAATGTTTGACTCTCAAACAAAGGTGAAGAATTACTAGTGTACAAATCTATCTCACGAGGAAGCATGTTGTGTCAAATGGTCAATGATCTTATGTTATGCAGCGTCTACCAAAACGGCTAAATGCACATTACGTTTCCACGGGATTTACGTTATATACCGTTACTTTTATCATGTACAGACATTATGGTTTTTGTTTGTTTGTGTGTGTTTGCGCGCGCGCGCGTGTGTGCGTGTGTGTCTGTGCGTGTCTGTGTGTGCATGTGTGTGTTCGGACTGGAGACTACTACTTTTAGTTTGATGCAGGGCCCATTTTCCTGCGGACGATTCAAGTAATAGATTACATTGTGATCAAGTGTCCGCCCGCTCTTTTGCCTCCATGGAATGTGCATGTACAGTAATGAGTTTAGTCAGATCAACACTGTATTATAGTGAGGTGATCAAAGAGTTTCACAGTGATGGATGGGGTGTGTGAGAGGGGGGTAGGTAAATATACAGATTTCCTGGCATAGGAAGATAGGTAGAAATTAATACTTCTTTTTATTTCCACAATACAAGTGTGATATTTGCAATAAAAAACAAAACAAAAACAAAAAACCCTCAGTTCTCCACACAAACTGTGGCTGAAATAATTTTGGATTTCTAAGGATCAACACTCCTGTGGTCCAACACGAAATAAAATTGGTGAGAGCTGCGTGGTAGCAATCATGCGGTGAAGTCGCTCTCGAGTCCATGTAGATTTTTAGGTAGTTATGTTGGTTTGTAATGGTCATCGTGTGGTTTTTATAATTTTTTATTATTATTATTATTATTTTGAGCTATTCTTTCTTCTTGTCTTCATCCTTCCCTTCTTCCATTGCGCCATTGCGTTCCTGCTCTTGAGACGCTCCTGTCTGTTCAGTTCCTGTCACCGTGGAGGTCAGGTTGCTCTCTTTCTTCCATTTCATGCGTCGGTTCTGAAACCAGATTTTGATCTGCCGCTCTGTTAAACAAAGCGCATTCGCGATCTCGATGCGTCTGCGCCTGGTCAGGTAGCGATTGAAATGAAATTCCTTCTCCAGCTCAAGCGTTTGGTAACGAGAGTATATTTGTCGTCCTCTGCGTCTGTCTGTCCCGTAGCCGACTCCTGCTGGGAGACAAAGTAAAGTCACTCATTTAAGCGTTAACAGCGCGAAGTCACGTTTGGATTTCAAATAAAACGTGCCTCTGCCTGGAGTCTGTTCATACTTGGAGGCAACTGAGCATAAGTTGGTTATTTTTTTTGCCTCGTTGTTAGATTCATAATTGCAATCTAAATCCACAGAGAAAAATAAACGCATTTTAACTGGAAGGGGAAAATATATCTCAAAGGATATCTTTGCTGTATTATCTAAAATTATTAAAGCTTCTTAAGTAGTCTCTCTATCTCACTCTACTGATTATGGCTACTATATCATTCTTAAAATGAAAGCTGTTTGTTTGCACATGTTAAGGCCCATCTACAAGTCGAGGGGATACAGTAATGTTTTATGGGGCCATAAAAAGTAACTTGCTCTCTTGGTAAGACATATCGTAAAACTGGCCCATTTCCTTAATTTATTTGTCGTAGTAAAACTCACCGCCGTGTGAGTTCATTCGCTGCATCCACGGGTAGATCGGGATGTTACTTTTCTGCTCCTGAGCTGCTGCTCTTCCTTGATCCAGACTGTACTCTTGAGCAATGTGGCTTTGTGTATTGAGTCCCATATTTGTTTGTCTGCAGCTGGGAAGCACGTCCTTGTCTTGAAGAAACACGTTTGATCCATACTCATACTGTGCCCTGCCAGACCCAAACACCACATTATCTTGAGGAGAGTAGAAAGGTGCATATATCCGATTCTGGGTCACAGCGGCACCGTACGACGAAAAATGTCTAACTGTGTCATAGGTGGTGGAGTTTAGGGGTACGTTAGGCAAAACATCTTGACCACCGGATAAATGGCAGGAGAGCGACGGGTTCGCGAAATAAGAATTCATACCTTGCTTGTAACCCTCTCTCCAACTCTCCCCACTTCTTTATCGGTCTCTTTTCAATCTCCTTCTCAGTAAATCTCCTTCCCCTCTGTGTCAACCAACCACACCTTTCTCCAAGGTCTTCTTTTTTTCCTCGACTTTCTGCCTCTGTAACTGGACGTGAGCTACTTTGAGGATTCAATATTATTAATTTCCAATCTCCGGTTAAGACGCACAAACCCGAGTGTTATAGCCGAGGCTTGGCTCGGTGAGAGACAATATGACAATGTCAGCTGACCATTCTCAACCAATTGAGAGGCAGGAGTTGAGGAGAAACTGTAGCTTTTAGCTCAGAGCTTGAACATTACGGCTAAATGTCGATAAACACAACGTAGACTTGGAGTGGCACACTATACAGCTTGGCTGAGTGAGAAGTTTTTGGCTTGAAGTTTATGAGCATGTGTCGTTTAAGCAGAAAGCAAGATGGAAAGCGTGGCCAATGTCATTCAGGACAGAGACCACATTCAGAGGAAGGAAGGAGATGGAGAATTCTAATGAAAAACACGTGAAATATTATACAAAATGCCTATTAAATAGTGACCAATAGAAAAAATAACACGGATATTAAAGCTGTTTACTAATGCAAAGCCATGAACTGTCATACTAAGTTCTCGTGTGAGTGATCGTGTGTGCGCATGTGTGTGTCCTATACCCAGTTTTAATCCATAATACAACATACACTGCTGTTTATCTCAGCCATATCAACAACTTTCCAATTTCCATGCTTTTGCAGTGACCTGGGGGAGGGTGTCGGCGGTAAGAATGCGTTTATGGTCTCTCTTCTGTGAGGGCAATAAAACAAGTGACGTTCCCCAGCTCACCAACAACTATCTCTGCAGCAAAGCCTTGAAACACAGGCAGCAATCTCTCCCGCTAAGAATCAAAAAAGCACTGCACAGCGTGTGGAGGCAAAGCAAAGACAAAATCGCGTGCAGGACAGGTATGGCACAGAAAGGGGAAAAAAGAATGAAAAAAATGCTCCTGTGAAGATGACTTCTGCCACCATCTTGAAAAAAAGAATCCAATCAGTTGTGCGATCGTGCAAACCTGCTCATCAATACTCACTGCTATTTCTCAGGTATAGTCTGTTCAAACTCACAACAAAGAACACTTTACTTCAAATTAATTAAGCAAAAAAATGTAATAGGCAACATGTTAAAATGCTTATGCAGATGTTCCAGTCTCTTTTTTCTCTCTCTCCTTGTGATCGTGCTTTGCCATTCCTGTGACACACACAGAGGAAACGGGAACCGATTATTATCTCAGCACCAAATGATGGGTTTGGAAATTACTTTAGAGGCGTTTTGCAGAATTCTAGAAAAACTTGATCACGTGTTTTGACCTAAACGAGCTGCCTCCAAAATCTGCATTAGACGAGATCGCAGTGCGCTAATTTTCATTTTATTTTAGAAAAACTTTTCAGATGAATTAAAACTAAAACGCCACACATGCTTTCGAAGTAGTTTTCCAAATTAATGTGGCCGGTTTTTGTTTTGTTTTTTAATTTACTTTAATTAATTTATTTTTTTAAACAAGCCGCATCAGATAACAATATAATAATAATAACAACAACAATCAATAACGCTATTGAAAAAGTCTGTTAAACGCAGCCCCACTGGCTGCAACAGCCTATTGGTTCACCTCATTGATTTCTTCAATGGAGTGAATTCGTGCAGCCTAAACGTGCAACACTGTTTGGTCTGTTGTTTGGGATCCTGAATAGCCCATAAAAGAGACAAGAACAAAGAGAAGGAAGTAGCTGGTGCAGTAAAAGTTTCCCTTCAACTATTTGTGACCATATGTGACATCCGCGTCGCACAGATTTGAGGCAAATAAAGCGCAAAAGTTGGAGCCTGCAGTTTTCCTAAATTTCCGTCCTGGGACTGTTCTTTTTCCCCTCTTCTTTTTGATATCCAGAAACGAAATCACTTGATGACGGAGGTTAAACCAACACTTATAGCAGGAGTAAACTACTCGGGGTCCCAGTTTGTTTAGTGAACTTCTACCCTTCAGTGTGGTGTAATTTCAAAGGAGACCAAATTGTTGCAAACATTAAAAAAGTCAGTTCCCCCACTTTGACTGGAACTTGAATCCCACCAAAGTAAATATGAACAAAACGCAAATAAAATTGAAGTTTGTGATATTATATTTTTAGTCAATCCGCCCTCATGGTGGCAGAAACGGAATGTGCAATAGATTTGTGAAAGCTTTCCTTTGTTTAACCATTTCTGCTGTCGTCACCAAGTAGTCGGCATAATTTATTCCACAGTGCAAAGTGTTTCAGATTAACACAATTTTCAGCAATCTCTATTCCATCAAAATCCACTCGAATTATTAGACTTCTCAACCACAGATTTTCCTTATTGTTATTTACAGAGACACAGACACACAGACACACAGACACAGACACACAGACACACACACACACACACACACACACACACACACACACACACACGAAGAACAGAGCGGTCTGTAAACTTTGGGTTGTAAATAAAAGCTGAACAGTAAAGCCAATGTGTGGACTGGAGAGACTGGAATGCAGGAGAGCTTGTGTCAGTGTGCAGAATTAGAAAGGTCATTCTTTCCCTTGTGTTTTAGTGTTTTATTGCGGCCCGTGAGGCAAATTACGCGCACGGCATTTGATGCAGGGAGGAGAGGAACCGTTTGGTGCGCGTTTCCACAATTTTTAAAAGAACATTATGTCCAGCGACGAATGCGTGAACCAGGAAAAGTAAAAATATAAAATACTATCAATACCCTAACATCCTGTTTCTAACCATGGTAATTAATAAAGATCATTCATAATTAATTCCTCAGAGTTATATGCCCTCAATTTGTAGTTTTATATGGTGATGCGCAACGAAGGCATAAACTAAGCTATTATTATTATTATTATTATTATTATTATTATTATTATTATTATTATTATTATTATTATTATTATTATTATTACTGGTTGAATTCTTACGCTTTGATGTGTTCTTGTGCTGAAGGCCTAACTTTGATAGCCCGCGCTCTGCAGCACAACATGGCCCATCAACATCTACGGTTGCTTCTATTTTTTTCTTAAACACAGCTTTCAATATCCAACATCACAACATCACTCAGCATTAGTTATACGGGACCCTTAAAATTTCTACATTATCGGCCATGATTAAAAACGCAGCAAGAGGGGCAAAGTCTGGTCATCCTCTGATGCTTTTTCCTCTCCCCCGCTTCTAACCTTACTAATAAGGAGTAATTCACATACTAACAATGTAAAGCCCTCTATAAGCACTTTACCATCGCTGGCTAGCCCAATTAATGTCCGGAAGTGTTCGACTTTATGCTCGTTAAGCACTCAGGAAGCTGTTGCCCAATGAGCGCATGTTGATCCACACATCATAAATTATGGCCATTAGTAGGCAAAATTTTGGTCCTGTCGGGATTTGTAAGTGAGGTTCTAAATGTGGTGATGCGGACAGATTCATGACTTCATGGAGTTTAATGCGAGCCTATCTCTGGGTTTAAAAAACACTGCAGGGCAAAACAATGGGCTGTGGTTTTCCCTTATTATTTCAACCAAGATTTACCTAACAACTCAAATGGCATCTATTAAATGGGCCCTCTTTCGCTCTCTCCCTCTGTCTTTCTCTCTCTCTTCTGCAGGCATAGTGCTGGGCAGCAGCGGACACGATCCATTGCAACAGCAATGTTTCATAAGGGAAAAACAAACAACGTGTTTAACAGTAGGTTATAAGAATTTAAAGGCTTTCACAACGAGGCTTTGCCAATAATTGTATTTTACAAGATTGAAACGCTGGACTGCTGAGACAGAAACAGATCACGTCGCTTTATTACATAAAAAATATTTAGTCTCTACACAGAGAAGAGAGGACAATTCCTCAAGCTAAGCTTTGATGAAACAACATCGCCAAACTTCAAATGCACAGCCTGCAGTCTCCCACACACACACACACACACACACACACACACACACACACA